ATATGTATACATAGTATATACATTGCCCCATCTCTATATGGCCGTACATCTTTCTTGTAGAAACCGTCGTGATTCTAAGTGTTGTTGGGAATTGAGTTCAATGTATGTTTGCTCGTACTGAACTATTAAGTAAACTACGTAGATGTCACAAATTTTATAGCGGTTGTTCAGTTAATATGTAGTTATGTTTTTGCCACGTTGATAACAAAACATAATTTTTAAAGTAAATAGTTTATTTCACAATTAAATATAAATATTTAATTCTTTCTACAAATAGCTGTACGTAAGAATTTTTTGTTTTTTCGTATTTGCTTGCAGTGAATGAAGGAAGTAAAATACAGATACATATATGTAAAAGTTATTGGTTTTCAAGCTGGCTATGAAAGAAAAGAATATTTCTTTTAACCAATCAATATTACTTCCTAATGTTTTAAGCTGTTTTTATTGATGTTAAAAAATAAACTGACCTAGACAATCATGGCTAATATTTAATAACAACGAAAGTATAAATGTCATTTCACTGGTGGACAATGGTATAGAATAACTTTATAAATCATATTTTATTTTAAAAGGTTTTTTGTACAATAAAAATTTGACACTAGTCTCCTTTTATTTGCCTCAAAACTAGCACTTTGGTATTTCCCTCGATGACTCATTAAATGTATTCGAAACATTTAAAGATTCAAATTACTTTCAAATTGCTATATACTTATTGATACAATAATCATTGAATAAGTGTGACTGTGTCAGAATCAAACAATCACATTTTTTTAAATTACCATTAGTTTTAATATATACACGTTTTATTATAAGAGATTTTACCGCAAACTAAAAAGGGTTCTTTTACTGTCAAACCTTACAAAATGTTTTAGTTATTAAAAAAATATATAGATGGATAGATCGTGAAAGCAATAGATTGCTTGAAAATTTATGAGAAAAAAATTGAATAAATAAAATCGGCCAAATAAAAAGTTACTTTGTGAATTGTGTGATACAAAACTTGAGGAGAGATTTCTTTTATCTCACATCTTATGCGAAAGGTGATAATTTATAAAAAAAAGCCTAGAGATATAATAATAAATTATTACCATCGATTATGAAAGTAAATAAGAAGTAAACTTAAAAAAGATAAACATAAGATATTCAGAATATTTGTGATGATGCTTATGATTAAATTTATTATATTTAGGTAGTAATGAAAAACTGTGTATAAATTTTAATCTTTTATTAAACTTTTAATTTCCTTAAGCCTACGTCAAGAATTTATAACCATGAGGAATAATAATTAAATCGAGAAAATACAACCTAGTTCTTTCACTATTTTCTACAACCAACATCATTTCTTGCATAACATAGGCCCTGTATTAGCAAAACATAATATTGTCTATAATTTTCGGTTTGTTTGGTCGTTTTTTTTTTTAAATAATATCGAAAGCTGAGAATACAAGAATGCGAATTATTAGTGAAGAAAATTCGATCACGTAAAAATTGGTATTTCCAAAATGTTATGCGAACATATCATTGATTTAACCAAAGATAATACCGACTTAAGCCGATCTCTTATTCATTCAATTAATAGGACTCAGACCGAAAAAAACTATTCTATCAACTAAATATTAAAGGACGCAGTTGTTCTTCGCCTTCCAGCATTCTATCCTAAAAACAAGCGTTAACAGTTTTTAATTCATGAATCTGCGTACATAGAATATATACATGTATATATATTTTATTATTATTAATATAGTCTGTTTCTGCAATACTTATGAAAACTTGTATCATGCCTGCTGATTTTAACCCATTTGATCCTATATGGGCCGTTAAATAAACGAATAAACTGTAATTCACAAAAAAATTACTTGTTGACAATTTAAAATTTTCAAAATACTCGTGTCGGAATATGGGTCAAAAATGTTATGATCACATACAGAAAATTTAAAACTGAATTACATAAATGTAAGCAAATAACGAGATAGATTCAGGAAAATATATTTAATATGAATATATGTATATCCAGCAATACAAAGATAGGGATTAATTTTGTAGTAGGTATAATCGGAGAATAATATTTAAATTTACTGATAGAGATATAATAGGTATATTTATTTTTATGTAAGCCGAATTTAAAAACAGTTAACACATTACATTAACTAAGACAGACTTTAACTTGATTATCTTGAGATTTCTCTGTCCTCAAATATCTCGTGTGCGTCAAGTCAGTCGCGTCCTTCCCCGTCTTACAGGTCACATACCACAGAAGGCGACAAGCTTTAGAGTTTAGCGTGAAGACTATAGTTAAATTGAATTCTAATTATATTTTCTAATACAATATAACAGATCGGTTGTTTTTATAAAAACTGTACCAATGTATGGATTACAAGAGAAAGATATTATTGAAAGGAACTACCGAAATTACTTTAAAACTATTGAAAAAACTTAACTATCGTAACCAATTATTACTAGATATGATTGTGCAAAGTTTAGATCATGCTAGCACCACGTGTATCAACTTTTGTAATGGATTATAAAAAACATATTTTTTTCAAATTTTCTCCAGTTAAAAATCTTGATAGTATTTTGTTATGCGATTATCCTTGACAATCTAGAATTCTATACATTACATACAAGGACTACTAGGTTTTCTCAAATGACTAAACAAATAAAGTAGAAGCCCACAAACAAATAAAGAATGTGTTACTGGCTTTATATATTTTTTTCTTTATTAAGAATATATTGTTTCCAACAATTACAACGAAGTCTTTCCGTCGTCATATGTATATGTGATATGGAAATTTACCTAGTGACTTCTTTATTCTACTTATATAAGCAATTACAAAAACCATTTTATGTATTTTGTAATCTTTAAAATTATAAATAACAATAAACATTCCCATGATATTCATTATAAATATACTGGGTTAATATTTTACTACTAGGTTTTATTGTTTTTTTAATTAATAAATTCATCTTTCAGTTCTTCAACATGGTAAATGTCTTACCTAAAATTGCCTTTATTAGTTTTTGAGTACTTCAGAATACGTTTTTAACAAGTATGATTTATCATCTTCATCTTCGTAAGGGGTATGTTTGATAAAGAATTAAAAATAAAACGAATACTGACGCTGGAAGACGTTATTATAATATGTAATATATTCGTAATATTAAATACCTGCGAAGGCGAAACGTCTCCATAATTATGTAAATAGAATCCTTAGGTAACTTTACCATCTCCGCATGCATAATGTTATATGAAACACATTTACAATCAATATAAGTTTTCACAGTTTTGCTATCATTTAAGTCATAGATTTTATTATATTTTCAAATATAATTCAAAATTATATTTGTTATTTTTGTTATACATATATATAAATATATAGTTCGTAATGTATTACATTTTTTATTTACTATTTTGCCAACCTCAACTTCAGATTCAACCCATTTAGATGCTAAAGGTCCTGGAAGAAGTCGATCCTTAGCGAAATTTCATCGTTTGTTGCCATTTTTTTTTTGTTTCATTTAATATTTTCTATTTCAAAATGTTGCGCAATAAGGAGTATTTATTATTATTAATAATAATTAAACATTTTTCTCGCTTGTATTCACATATTTTTTGTGAGTACCTATAAATTAATCGCTCATAAGTTTATTCTTACCTTTATTTCTAAATGTTAGAATCTCAAACTTTTTTTTTTAAATACCTTTGACATAAAACGCAAAAGTTTTCACGTGCTTACACGCATGTTACTTATTACCAAAATATTTATTGTATTTTTTTTTCAAATTAACTAACTATACTTGATGGCCCATTCCTACTGATACCAACAGCGTTACCGAAAAGGTATAATTAGGTACTTATAAGAATTGAAATTGAAAAAAAGACATTAAACATTGCAATTTTACATTAAAACAATATAAATTTAATTGCGTTTAGTATGAGTGCCTTTAAGTAACGCGTTGATGTCTTTCATTGAATCGTAACTAAGCTAAAATATTCTTAACAATTAAGTTATAAACATAGCTAAATGAATATACTAAACAACCTTTTAGTCAAAGTGGCAATGTTTAGTAATTTATTTGAAGTTCATTATTATGCAATTATACAAAATTATATCAAAGGCTCTAACCGAGAGAGGCGAGAGATATCTCGATACATTTGAGAAGGCAAACGTTTTAAATGACCTATAATATAATATATCGCGGGTCAAAGCTAGCGCAACTAGAGCAGTGGGCCACGGGCACATTGTATCATATAATTCAATCATCCAATGTTTACGATTATTACGAAATTAATACTATTGTTTAATTATTAGAGAGGCTTAATGTTTTAAGAACAGTGGGCTTTATAATATTATATACATAATCTGACTTAGAAATCAAAATGTGATTCCTCCTATTTTGGAGTTTTAGACTCTGTCAAATAAAACATATCTTTTTATGGAAGAACAATGGTTTACGGATATATAGTTTAATATGTGAAAAAATACGTTTTGTCTCCATAGTTCAAGTTTCATACTGACTCAAGTAATATGGTGATAGGTTATGATTATATACGAAACTTACTAAACTGACACGTAATTATAAGATTCTGATATTATAAGTGACAGAGTTATTTAATTTTCCTATTGTGTGCTCTGAGCTGTGCTTCTATACATTGACTATATATTGAAGAGTGTCTGTAACAGTGTGTTGAGTCTGTCAGTTTGGTGACGGTGGGTTTGAGTGCGTGCTGGCTCGGCTATAAGTAAGAGGTGCGCACGAGGCGACGAGGTTAGTCGCCGTTCGGTATCGCGTCGCCAGCGGTGTTACCTCCCCGACCGGTGCGTTTTACCACATCTAGTAACCTAGTAGTACCCTCACGCACTAGCCTTTCTCACACGACCGGCCATCCTCACTTGCGCAACCTAGTTCAAAACCGAAAGGTCGCCGCTATTGGCATTTAAACGCTCTCTGACATTAACGTTGCATTTAAATGTGTGATGCAGCTTCCTAGTTGAGCTCCACTGTCGCAACTGTTTGTCGTTTGGGAAAGGCGTGCTGAGACGAAGTCTCTGTTGCAGCCAGAGTACGCCGGGTCGCGCACGCACCACTCACGCAAAGCGCGCTCCCTGTTGCTAAACAACCTCAACATGGATAACAAAATAGCTATGTAAGTACATTTTATAATTTATATTTAATAATTTCAAATGATTTGCTTTTTTTATTTATTTTATTATCCAACGTGTTGTTTAGAATAATATGTATATTTTATAAATGTTATATATTACTATTTCGTAACAACGTGTTGTAATTTTTCTTAATAACTTTCTATTTGAAAATAATTATGCACAAAATAGCGGATATAAACCTGTCGGGGTACCTACAATGTCACTTTCATCTGTTTGTATCGCTCGACCATAACTGTAGAGAGCTTTACGTAACGTACATTCAGCTAGGAGTGATCTTCTCCATCCAGGTAGATAATAAGATCTAGTTTCTCATGTGGAAATCGGGTGCTGGTTGCTTAACAGCAACTGACATCACGAATGAGGGCGCGTGTTTCTCAATGAAGGCTGCGAAATATTGCTTTTAAAATATGCACGACTAAGCGCGCACATTGTCGTCCAATATGAACCTCTACTACCAACCAACTCTGATATAAACCTTATAAAAAATCAATGAAAGCTCAGAAAAGCTTTGCGTGGATATTATGTACGTTAACCTTGCAGTCACCTCAATCGACGTACTGCAGCAGCAGTCTTACCAACTAAGTCATAAAAACTTTCTTTCGTGTAAAACACCTTGATACAAGTTTCCCTCATTGAGAACTGGACGACCTAAATTCATAATTGATTAATTATAATAAGACCATGTCATACAAACAAACTAAAATCATACAAAATATATGTTTTCGAAACATACAAACTAATTAATAATATTATTAGAGGTTGGAATGCGGTGAATGGTTATAGTATCACAAGTAATCTTTCTATTGACATTGTTTAAGCATTACTTAATATTTCTATAATTGCATCACATTGCAGAAGGTCAGTCTAATTGTCTAACATTTCATTACTTCAAATTATGTACTTAAAAGCTTTTGTTATTGGTTAAGTACGAGTAATTACAAGAGAACAAAAAGTAAAATATTTGACCTGTTATGAGTAATAAAAAATAATTAGAATTCTTGCAAGTTAATTAAAAGTAATGGAATGTTATCTCGGTCAGCGAAAATTATTATTTAATTCTGAAGTTACATATGTATATATGTATGCAAATTCGTATTCACCATCAAATGTTATATGGTATTTATTTGAATCTATTCGCATGTAGTTTCTTCAACCTGAGTCTAAAAGTTTATTACATATAAAAATCTACACAGTCTTATATATATATATATATATATATATATATATATATATATCTTAGAGCACTGATTAAATTTAAAATAATAATTACATAATTCTTAATTTTAATCAAATCAAATAATATCCATAAATATAAAGAGAAATTTGGGATTTTAAAATTAATAACCTAATCACATCTTATAACTTTCCAAGTAAATGTATTATGTGCAATGAGCAAGTCATTTGTACTCTCAAAGTATATAAAAATTCCCAACCTAATACTCATTTCAAGTTACACTTTCTGCTTAATTTCCCGCTACATTGATGTAGTATTCATAAAGTTAGCTGCAGTTCCGGTGTGAATATGATCAATAAAAGCTCAGTAATTTCTATTCGATTCAAGTATCTGTGTAAGTTAAACAAGTTCCTGATCGCATACTAAAATAAATTCTCAAAAGTCTTTACAATAAGAAATAATGTTCATAAATATTAATAAGAACGGTAAACAGAAAAAAAAAAACAATCCTACTAATTGAGTCATGGTAAGAAGATTTATACAAATGAAAATTTAATTTTCCGTTTTTCTAATACATATAAGGCTTATGCGTTGAAAGAAATACACTTTTAGTATTTTGTCATCACCTTTGCGTGATAACGATCTCTCTCTTTTGGAATACAAATCAGTAAAAATTGAAATTTCTCCGTTATATGTACGTAACTTCCACACGTAAAAAGAAAGTTGTAATAGATATTTATATCACGTTTAAAATTGATGTAAGCAATGATTTGTTACCACGTAATAGTTGTCAATTGAGACGCGGCTTATGAACATAAATGAAAATAAAGAATACTTCATTAGTCATCAATTGATTAATACTAAATTAAATAATGAAATTACGTTCTTTATTTGTAAAATACAGTATACCTATAAGTCAATGAGTTAAAGGTTCTATTTGAAATAATACTTCTTATCGACCACCATAATAAGGTACTTTATCTATTGATTGATTAAAGAACACAGAAACCTAAATTGATTCTTAAATTTAGCTAAGTTACATGGACATGTTTACGCACATTTCTATATACATATATATTTAAACTCTCTCCTTACTTTCTTTATAAAACCTATATTTAAAGAGCTTTATAATAGGTGTAATCTGTCCATTTATTTACGGATATCCCGCGCGAGTTTCCCCAGCTAGCACTGGTGTTGCAAGATCGTCCATTTTAGAGACGTAAGAGCCGGCTCCGACCGGTCCACTCTCGCATCATCGCATCCGTCTTCATATGACCTTCACTTTCGTTTTTAACTTGCGTCTTTACAATTCCAATAAGAATTAATATAGCAAAACTAATATCCATCAACTTAATATAAATGTTCCAAAGTTATCTAATACTATTTTTATTAATTATTATTGTGATGTCGAATTAGTTAGCAAACAATAGATGTAGTGGGTTACATGCCTGTTTTGGTACATCGCTGTATCGCATCTTTCAGCCTTTCAACCCACAGACGCTTTCGCCTACCGCATTGCGTTAAACATGAAATCATCATTCATGTTTAATCTCCCGGCTAGCCTTATTTAACTTTGCTTAAATTTTTTTGTTACTTAGCCTAAATTTTACGTATTAATTCCTTCAAGTTACTTAATATAAGGTAATGTGTTATATTTACAACTAGAATTTGGGCGTGTTTGATTCTTTGCACTTTCTACTTAGTGGAACGATATCTCAAGGGCAGCCGGTGGCGCGACGGCTGACGACGGACACGACCATCCGTTAATGTTTACGATTACGCAAAATACCAAACTCACTAATACCTATACTAAATACACCCACATAGTTTTTTATGATTTATTTCGACATAAAATGTTTGTCGGATCATAACTAAAAGGTATAATAAAGTACATAGAAACAGATTGTCCTGGGACTGTCTCTTTTCAAATTTATTAAATTTTATAGTTAGTCAAATGAAACAAAATGGTTTGATTTAACCACAATTAGAGCTCTATTTTACATGATATTGGTAATAATGTGAATATGGAAGCAAGTGAGGAATATCTATAATAACAGTTTAATGCCATAATTGTTTTATAAGTAGAAACATTATACTTAATTAGAATCAACTTCAGTGACCTTCCGTAAACGACGAATAACGACCGACTTCTTTTTATCGTTTTCTTAAGGTCGGTCGGTTTTATAAAATATAATGAATACTTAATACAAATTTATTGTATTTGTACCAGTTTATATACGGTTTTCAATATAAATATTTTCTATAGATATTTGTATCGATACTATATGATAGATATGTTAATAAATAATTTAACCATAACAACCATTTAGCTTTTAATATAATACAACGCCCAAGAAGATTACATCTTAATATTTGATAACTAACTGGTATGTAAAATACATCATGTAACCTAATTCCTTAATGTTATTTTCAAGCAAGAAAATATTTGTCATATTTCCAGTGACCTTTTGTTTTATTGATGTTAGTTTCAACACGTGAATCATTCGATGGCGGTTACGAATTAATATAAATATGTCATAATATAACATTGGATTAACTTTGTTGCATCAAAGTCCGGGTTCATCCTCGGTCGCGCTATTTGAGAGCCAATCAATCTGTTGTATGCTTGCATCTTCACACGTTACAAGCTTTTAGCTTTCGGCATCGAGTAGTTTCACTTTCAAGACGCTGACCTTTTGTGGAATGTGTTATGAGATAACAGATGAATAAAACATTATGTGTTTGATTTTTTTTTAGCATGTCGATTCATTCTCTCCATTTGTAATGTAAAAAATCTTACGCTTTCTATAAATAAAAGACCTTTGATTTTCTAAGATGCTTTTTTACGATAAATAAATTTCTAGTTTATAATAATTGTTAGACTAGAGCTATTCTGAAATATGAAATAATATCCACGGTGCACGGTGCAAACCTATGTTATTTTTGAATATAAATTTATTATTCGTAAATCTTAATTTTGCAGATACCAAGGTAATGATGTAGCAAACTTTTGAATTGTAAAACGTTACAGAAACTTTAACAGTAATTTTAAATTCAAAGAAATATTTCGTTTCGTTCCTTTTAAGCCTGGTCTATAATATGTGACAATTCTGGTTATATTTGATGTAGTTACAAGGGTGCGGTAGGTTGTCACTATGCTTACGCATGAACAGTTCCTGTTTACGAAACATGTTTTATGTCGGCATTGTGGTAAAAGTTGAATTTCTGCTCAGGGAAGCGTAGTTATTTGGCAAGAACACGAACCTTGATCGCCTATTTAGTAGTTCCATTCATACGGGGTGTCAGGAAAACGTACTCAACAAGTTATCCTCCACCACTCTTATTATCAAGGTCGGGTTTAATTTGTCATATGTTAATTTTTTTTTCGTCAATTGCATTCAAACATTTTATTTTCCAAAATAATAAGTTAAAAACTGTTTTATTACTTCTGTATTGTATCTGGAAAATGGTTAGTAAATAAAACTGATCGCTTCTATATCTATGTAGTAATAAACCTAATGTTTTATATAGTATTCATTATTTTATTACTCTTGTATTAAATGGTATAATGTATATTCCGCTTGAGTCGATTTGCGTATCAAGTTTAATGTACTTACGTTTTTGATATTCAACTCCCGTCCTGTCGCGACGTGAGACAGAGCCTCAGTTATCATTCATGTCTGTACATAAGAGTTTTAAAACTATAAAGTCAATGACTGCATAGCATGTTGTTTGTTTTGCAACCCTCAACTGTAATTCTTATGTACCTATACATATATCCACAATCTTAATGTCTGAGACTTATTT